AAAAATAATAGGGTTTCCAGCGAAATAAATTGAGTTATTAACGTGACAGTATCACAATAAATTATGATGAAACGGTTCTAGGGGCAAAAAGGACCGGTCAGATGGCGGTTGGCGAAAGGTCGGACAGGGCTAACAGCGGTTGATTGCCGGTCGCTCGTTTGTCTCCATGTAGCTTGACAGGAACTATCCTGTCTGGAGTAACGTCAACTGAGCCTGCTAGCCAGACCAACGTGATTCGTTCTGTTGCGCTTTGCTTTGCTCTGCCCTGTTCTGCCCTGTACTGCCCTGTTCTATTCCACTCGGCTCTACATTGTTCTGCATCATCCTGCGTCGCCTGTGGAAACTGACCGGTGAAGAGACCCGAATACGAGCGTTATTCGATGCTACTGTAATTATCTCTGTCCATAGATTGAAACAAATGGCACGCGGCACGAGACTCATTTGTACGGCGACGCTCGTGACGTGGTGCGGCGATGCGGTGCAGCCCAACCCGCGCCACGACCATGATTAACGCAACTCGCGCGTCTTTCTGCTCGTGCTGCTTTGGCTTTGCGCTACGGCACGAAACAAACTGACAGAGGGAACTTTGCGCTTCGTCTCTTCTCACGCCTTACCCTCATTCTGACGTCACACAGCTCAGGTTCTATCATTTCCCTCTTTCTTCTTACTATTGCCATTAACCATACTTTCAGCACGTTAATATCATGCTTTATCAGTCTGATGTTAACTACGTTATTTCGTTATTCAAAGAACGTAAAATAGGGACTATGGCGATTTACTGATCAAGAGAATGATTTATCGGCAATTTCGTACAATACACACAGATATTGATCGTAATACCGTGCAACGTTTTAAACGTGACGATATTAATTATGATCAACCACGATCGGACTTGATAGGGTTGGACGCCTAGGCTTTTGTATTTTTAGGACAATTGTAGAATACGAAGGAATTGGAGAAAAGTTTGTAGCTAACTTTATTTGTTATACACTACATAATTTTACGTTACATGACTCTGCGATTAAGATAATATAAACAATAGTTACTCGTAACATCTGCGTAGTTGCCTAAGAAGAATTATACAGTTCATTATAGTAATATTCCCATAATCTCACCTTGTAACAAATTGCACTCTACGATTAAAATATTAGAGATTAAAATTAATCTGTAAATGGTGAGCTTCTGGGAGAATGAAAAAAAAAGATTACGAGTTTTTGATAAGTATACTATATACGCGTAATAACATCTTTTGACATTATTATACATATGTAAATATGTATGTATTATACCACAAGATATTGTTTAAGAAAAATAGTTGTGTATTTTACATTGCATTGTCGTTATGAAAATAGCGTTAACGAGGAAGAATAATTTTGTTATTCTGATTATTCATTTTTAACAAATTGAAAAAGTTAATTAGATCGCATCGTTAAGATCGCATGCAATATCCTGTATTTAATACGTATAACAATAATAAAGACTACCAATAAAATTATAAAACTCCTAAAATCATTTGCGATTACCAGTCAATTAATGGAAGTGTAAAACTATTTGTAGAAAATAAAAATTTTTTGTACATATATATAATTCTTATTACATGCATCAGTTTCCTCTATGCTTTTATTATTTATTGCCTTTCAGTACGCAGAGATTATTATATCCGTAACAGTTTAATTACTTTTGTGTAGTGGATATCTATTTTAGAGTTTATATTTTATATAAGATCGGTAGTTTTCTCTTTACTTTCTCTTCATTAATTTCTCTAATTTATGCCGATTTATGTCTTTTAATTAAAACTAAACAAATATATTTTATGGCAAAAGAAATTTTAACGATCCTTTCTCATATTGTTAATTTGAAATTACATATAACAATACATACTTTTTAAATTATGATTACAGAAATTTGTTTTACACTAATTTTTACAAATTACCGTTAACTAATTTATTGTAATCCATTTTTATTATATTAGTTATATTTTGATGTTTTCAATCGATTAAATGTTTATAACCATAAAAGTGGTATTATTGTATAATATTAACAAACAGGTTATAAGAGATAAAATAAGTGGCTATATTATATTTATGGCCAATAAAATCATTCAGTCGTTTCTTTATTCAACTCTTTTATTACCTAAAGTCGAAATGGTTTTGCAGAAATTATTATCGATGCTAAAATTAGTATAACATCATTAATGCAATTTCGTTTCGCTTGGATTTATTTTGGCAAAGATTTTTGCTATCCGATATTCTACAAAAAAGGTCCAATCGCATATACCGTAGTAATTTCTTTTCAGTTGGTGTGTTTTAATAATGTTATCTTGAAAAAACGCGTGTTCGATTGAAAGAATTTTACCGTGTTTGAACATCGTATTACTTTACGGTTTATGAATAACGAACGATCAATAACTTGATAAAACACTGATACTCGTATGAAGAGAGAAAGTATGAAAACGGACATGTGTACGTATTTTCACACATACCGAGAACCTTCACTTATACATTCGTATCTTAAAATTAATCTTGCTTAAATCATACTACAACGAAATTTCGGGATCTCGCACCTGTTGCACAAGCAATTTTCCTCTAATGAGAATAGACTACGTGATTATGATTCTCAAGTATTTCCGATATTCGTACTTTCGTGCAATACGCTTTAATATACACTACTTCCATGAAATTTTATTCAGCGTATCTGTTTATTATATATACAGGTCTATTATAACGAACTATTATAACAAGTGAAATGGAAAAGTAGCGAGCACTTTCTGAAGTAGAATATTTATAGTCCAATAATTCACATGAAAATCTAGCTAATATAAAAAGATGAAGTTTCATCGAGTCTCGAATGGATTTCACTTGGAAATTAATTATATTGTTTACAAGCGGCAGTTGCTACGAGAAAAAGTAGGATACAAACGCGCGAGAAATTCATTAACGTTACAGTTACAAAGAAATTCCAGAGGAATCAGAATGAATGACTGTTATAAACTTTCAATGAAATTGGGGGCGAATGGTTCGGCGATGTCTTCTTGTAAGTTAAAGTGTCCCCCTCCTCGGTCGGAACACCTATGGTCTGGTCGAGCCATTAATTACCTTTATTGAGCTTCTGTGCCGGTCTCGGTCGTACTTGTCGATCGGCCCTATCACTGCCAATCAATCTCGAACGCAACAGCGGTGGGGCTTCGTCAAACGTCCCGACGAAATCAGCCAATCTACTGCGGGACAATGGGCCAGCATGATTCGATCGTGTCTCGCCGGCTTTGCATCAACTGGCCGTCCCCTCTCTTTTTTGCCTCAACATCTATACATACTCTGTTCCAAGAACGCTTTCTCGATTCTTTCTTCGTCTTTTTGCCGCGGCCAAAGACGGTGAACATTAGCTGTTACGGTTGTCCGCAAGATTCGAGCATTAAATGAAAATGATCGTGTGCACGTCGTTTCAGATAGGGTAGGATATACGATGAATAGTAGATTCATTTCGCTTTGTGGGATACGCTTTCACGAAATAACGTGTTTTGGGTGATATACTTTCATATAAATGCGTTGTATTTTCCTTCGCAACATGTACGTATCTATTATACGAATTCTTTGTACGATGAATCGGTTATATACGAAAGTATGATAGTTTGCGTAATTCGAATCAAGATTTTTTCTTAATATTGCACATAAGATTTAGTTTGTGTACCGAAATTTTGAAAGCAAGTGGAGTATGTATTAAAATATCATACGTTTTAAGTAAAAAGGTTAACAAATCAGCGATTGATCGTATTGTAATAAATGTTCCTGTAAAAAAATATTTTAAGTAAACAGGTAATGTAACAAAAATTCAATTATAGATACGTGGAAACGTGCAATTCGTATTCGAATCTGTACGATGATTGATTCTAAAATGACTGACGCTTACACAATATCGGCCGTCTATTTGAACGCTAAACTGGCAGACACGTATCAGTTAAGTAATTGCTATTACATTATTTAGTGAGATTTCATTAATAGAGGTTCAAGTGAGCTACTAGAGAGATACGATGGGACGTTAATTTCATTGGTGAATTTAGTTCACTTCGTAACAATTGCCATCGACACCGATAATCCAATGAATCGAGGTCTACTTACTTCGTTTAAACATCAAATTTTACTAATATTAAAAGTATAGAGCGAACAAGACATTATGTTTGCTTTCTTATTTGTAAGAATATCAATAAAAATTTCGGAGTTATTCGATTCCTTTGCTCCAGCCTCCAGCAAGCATATGAAATAATCCTTTGAAATGCGTTGGTAGTATCTTTCATCTTACTTCATCTTTCCTAGAATATACTTATTACTTATTTTAATATTTCGTTTATTATTGCGATATTAGATCGATCTTATGACTATACCGTTCCAATATTTATCCGAAAACTGATACACTCGATGTTCATTTTATAATTATCTGAAGTACTTTTCCGTTAAACGCTCTTATTAGTTTTATTATGGAAAAAAATTCATAATGTCGGCAAGATACGGAAGATTTTCTTAATTACTTTGTTATGTGTTCGGAGATGAAAAAGTTTTTGCGATCAAGATTGTCAGTGGTAAATTGAATAATTGTCAAAGTAATTGGTGACTCGAAGGAGAAAGATCTATTTTTACTTATTACTTCCTGACAGCCCCAACGATGTGGGCATGTGACATCTGAATAGCTGGCGTCACGTTTTCAATTTTCTACTCACCGGTTCGGCAAGCTGTCCTTACTCGTTAAGTGTACTGACAGCATCACTGGAGCGTTCCCCTTAGATAAATTAAAATATCGATCGGGACACGCCAATTATAAGTTTGACGTTGTACTAATATCAGCCACGTCACCGTTCCCGCGCACACACTTGTACAATATCCTAGTAAACGTTGTAATAAATAATTTATGTAAATTATAAAAAAAATATGTTTAGCTCCTCTTTCAAAACTTTAACATTTATTCCATTTAATTGTCTTTCTTCCTAGGAAAATAAATTGTTTAGTCCGTCGAAATAATAGTTGCTTTATTTAAATTTAAGAAGAGATAAAATAAAATTAATACACAGCTACCATAATAGAGAAGCTTGGGTTTTGGTCAGAATTTAATCGGCGAACATAAACGTATAACAGGATATTTATAAAAATTGTATACATAAGACGTAAACTTTTCAACTATGGTAGCATAGTGCATATGCATACATGTATGTATGTTAAAAAGTTATAATATATTCAGAAACGTTGCGTTTATAACGCATATACAACGAAGAACCCTCAATTATATACACAGTATGAAAATTAAAGTATATAATCCATCTTCCTTGTCTTCGGTTAAGTCTGCTCGAAAAGCAGTTCCTACGACAGCTTGAAATTTTGACGCTCGTCGCATCGCATTATCCCATGAGTCGGCGAATGAACACGGCCACTGACGTATAATATGTGGGCCGAAAAAAACCAGTGACTCGTTGATACCTTGGTTGAAGCAGCTCCAGGAAATCGATATCGACAAGTTGAATCATTGCTTCTGCGGTCTCGCGGTAAGCAGTTAAAGTGGTTTTCGGCAGTTCGTTGTACCTTTCCGCCGTTGGCGAGAGGTTAATGGACTATGTATCGGTCGCGGTACGTCAATATCACGCATCTGCAAATTATTTTTCCGGTCATTTATTTATACATTTTGATATATGTATAAATTTCGCTTGATTTTTTTATGGTTGAGCCACGGAAAAATTTTAACGCATGGACAACAATATCGAGAGGTGTACTTTTCGAGCGATGGCAGCAGCAGTAGCGGCGGCGGTGGTGGTGGAGGCGGAGGCGGAGGCGGTGACGGTAGAAGCAGAGGCAGGTAGATGGTATGCAGACGTTGACTAGAGTCAGCCGGGGTGGTTGTGCATTTAGCAAGCTGTCGCCCCCAACCAGTCCGCCGTGTCAGGCCACTGACAGTTTTCATTCCGCGCATACTTGACGTGCAACCGGCTCCTCTTCGCTCGCTTCGTTTCTACTAGAACCGCCAACACCATGCCGATCGCTGCGATTAATTATTTTGTCGATCCACTACCTTTTCTTTTCTTCGTCTAACGATGCCAGTCATAGCTCGTTTAATCTCGATAATCTACGTCCTATAGTCGTTTGCGTGGATCCGTAATAAGTTGCGCGCATCATAGGTAATAGTCGTGTAGCATTGTTGTCGCGAACGTGGAAATGAAATTCCTGAATTGGAAAAAATCATATTTTAATACCTTTCGATTTGTCTAAAATGCGATACGACGTGAAATTTTTTTTCATTTAGAAAGAACTATAAACTCGTTTATTTCGGGATTGAACATTTACAATCTATCAAGAAGCTATTAACTTCGCCAACAAACGTAAATAAAAGTAATTGGTTTACGAAACATTTTATGCTTGAATGGTGAAATTGGTGATTAAAATTCTTGAAGAAATCCCCGAAAAACGTGATTAGAGTCCGAAAATATTTGAATAATATTATCCAAATATTACCTCACTATAACATACGAGAAATATTCAGAATTTAGTGATGGCAGAAAGGACATGGTGCTAATTAATTGTAGAAATTGTCATTTTTCCAAAGGAATAAAAGCTATAATACGTCAAGGATCAAATGTATCGTTCATAAGCATTTTATATTTAAACGAAATAAGCAAGTTGTTTGTTTCAAGATAGATTTCGAATTTTGGACAACATCAATTCATATTTACAGAAGGGGCAACAGGAAACGACATACGACATGACGCGACGTGACGCGATGCGAAGAGTCGAAACGAGACGTGAAAGACGTGACGAGAGGAGAGAAGAGGAGAAGAGAAGAGAAGAGAAGAGAAGAGAAGAGAAGAGAAGAGAAGAGAAGAGAAGAGAAGAGAAGAGAAGAGAGGAGAAGAGAAGAGAAGAGATGAGAAGAGAGGCGGAAAGAAGCGAAGCGAAGAGAAGAGAAGAGAAGAGAAGGGAGGAGAAGAGGAGGAGACTATAGGATAGGTGGAAGTTCGATTCAGGGCGAAAGGGAAGGATTAATGGCGCAGGCGGGACACACCGCGGCCATAAATCGCCGCACGGCCAGGAATTACCGGCTCGCAACTTGCGAAATATGACGGTCTCATAAATCCGAGTCCACTAGCCCGCGCGCCTCCATCGACTACGTCGACTAGTCCCGCTTCCAGTCTCGCGTCGGTATATTGCGATCTCGCTTCTACTTCTAACTCGCGGCCTAACGTCATCTTCGTCCGCTCGTGCTCGCGGGAGAATACACCGTGCACCCTGTGTATACGTTTCAGCTCGGCGTGCAACGGCCATTTATAACTTGCGCGCCTGGAAAAGCGAGGTCCATAACCTAATACGTTCGTTCCGCTCGCCGAGGGGAGGCGAGAAAGGAGTTAAACAAAGAACGGGGTACGCCGATTTAAAGGACGGGGATAGATGGATGGAGACACCGGTGTGTCGTAACGATGTGCCGCCTCGAACGATCAATTCACTTACCGCTTACCGTGCTTAGATTCATGTGCCTTGCCGCGATTTTCCATTCGTCCTCCACTATTTCACTCTTCTTGCGCCTCCTCGGAAGTTCGATCGTACCAACTGTCTTACCTTCTCGTAATTGTTCCTAAAATCCACCGATCCAACTTATCCTCGGAAACTTCGTATTATCGTAAACTTTTTAATGTTCAATGAAGTAACAACACTCTCTAACTCTCTATTCTGAGAACTCCGCAAATTATAATTAGCTTTTTGGCATTTTTAGTTTAATAATTTCGTAAATACAACGTTAACCAGAGATGTACTTATAAGAATGAATCGGAATTTTAATATTTTTACGATTTAATACGAGATTATATTTTACTTGAACGAGAATTTCGTTGAAAGTACCCTGCAATCGAATCAATTAAATTTTCAAATGTGGCTCGTCAGCCCTAAAGTTTGACTTTATGTTCTTATCCGATTTTTCTATATTTAAGTAAACTTATTTCAAAAATAATATTTGTTTGCAAAATAAATGTTGGAATTTGTGAAATGCCATTTTTCTATTTACTTTACTACTTTATTATGTATTCTATGATACATGCATTTATATTTGTGCCCCCTTAATTAGCTGTCAAAAATGCCTAAAAATCTATCACTAGTTTGAATAATTCTGTTTAGTACAAATAATAATTATAAGTATAATAGCAAATAAAATACTTGCAAACAAAGATGAGCAGGAAGGACATCCTAGCAATGTTTAAATTAATTTCTTGATTACGCGACATACATACATCTAAATACATACATGAAACATGCTATGCATATGAAAGAGCAGCTTAAACGGCGTACAATAGTCGAGGCACTTTCCGACCACGATAATGCTTTAGCTTGAATTATTCTGTAATTTTCACGAAATTGTCTCTGAATATGATTTGTAGAGTTATTAAGATTTACAGAGATTAGAAGAGTACCCATACTAAACATAGATACGGTTATTACAAAGCTACGGCTAAAATGCTATTACATATGTATATATCTAAGTATTATGAGTAACCTTAAAGTGCTGATGATATTATTTGACTTGCATCAAATATATTGTCAGCTATTAAACGTGTGATCGTTCAAGTAATAAAAATCAAACCAAGAAACACTAAACTATTGTAAATTCATAACGTAATCACTTTTTATTGATATTTTTATATTCTGAAACCTAATACACAAATATCATATCCAACTTACGCGTTTCACACGCGTAAAGAATCAATTTTCAATTTTTTTTATTATAGAAAAGCGTGAACACATTTGGTTTATATTCGACGATTTTTTCCAAGCGAAATGAACAAATATTGTAAAACGCAGTTTATCGCTCCTTTAGTAGATACTACGAAATACAACTAATGTTTATGTCAATTATATTAACAGTAATTACGATATGTGCTGTAATTGAGAATTACACGAACATGCTGTATCAGGATGCCGGAATAAAATATCCCTAGTGTATGTACAGCGTACATGGGTATCCGCCTATCGTTATCTAAATCCATGGAAATCGAATTTATGGTTTGGCTACCAGCCATTAAGTAATAATAATTTGTTTCAACAAACATTTGTTTATTGATTTTACGCAGTCTGTCATGAACGCTGTAATGAGCGGAAGTTTTAAATGTTGTTCATTTATTATTTGTATATTACCTGCGTTTCCAGTATCAGAATTGGTACGATTAAACGTATCATATATTATCTGCTTTTACAAACACTTTCTATTTGAAACGCTTTTACAATGAAAATTTATAAATATGGCAATTAAAAATTATAGATGTTGTCAGTTTGAAAAATGTCAATAGTTTTTAACACTGTAATTTAAAATAGATCATTTAAAGCCTCAACCATGTTATTCTATACGTTTACGAGATAATTGAGCAAACCTGAATATCTAGGTAATAATAATTTTACATATTTTGCTTTAAGAACACTTTTTAAATTATTAAATTTGAAAGTTTCACATATTAATAAGAAAATTCTAATGAATAAAAATGAATACTCTAACTAATTATTACTGTATTATATTATTATATTTATCGTATAAAAAAACTAAGTAAACCATTAAAAAGGAAATATATTAATTTTCATAATTTATTTCATTTTTTATTATTTTTATACGTAATACTTTATTATTTTCCATATTTATTTTCTCGGAAATGAATCTTCTAAGGTTAAAACAAAATAATTTAATTCTTTACGTAGTCGTGTCACATTTAATGAAAATTTATAGTAGTTAAGCGAAAAAGAAGGGAGATCGATAAATTTAAAAGTAAACCTGAGAAAAAGAGTATATATACATATATATGTGATCCGGCTACAATAGGTGTTAGTTGTGGATAAAGTATGCGTGTCGATAACCTTGATGCAGTTAATTACTATTTCTTCCTAGGCGAAGCAGCGTCTGAGTACGTAATAATGAATCAGTGAATTATAAAATAAAATGGTTCTATCGTCAATCATAAATTTTCTGCTTGTTAATTAATTTTATATGTTATGTGGGATATTTATGCAAGTGTGACAATTTTGAAAGTGGAAATAGGAACAACTCGGCAACGTTGTGTCAGCGTTTATATCGTCATCGATCCTAAAATTTATACGTTCCATAAAATTCCGGAGCGAGAGAAAGGCTATCGAAATTCATAAAGTTATAATAATAAAATTTAAAAGCAGCTTCGATTTCGCAGCATGTTGGGTTTCGCGGTTATCGCGATAAACATGCGAATTGTGCAAAAAATTTATAGCGGCATAACACTCGGCTTCATTAGTTTCCATTCGATTAAAACGACGGCCAAGAGGAATGTATGCGCTGTTCTGCAGGTTAGGTAGTCACACGTATTCGTACACGCGCATGCACGCACCGTAGAAGGCGGGCAGAGCTCGTTACCATTCATAACGTTATCTCAAATTATAAAGTATCTTGCATTTCATATCTTTGGCTCTTTCTCGTATCTCCTTAACGGCTGCCCGACAGGCTTAATCGACCGTTAATCGAACGAGCAACAGGCAAGTAACCTTAGTGGAAACGAGAATTACAGCCTGACAGTTATACGTTACTGTGTTATGTATATTTCTAGGATATTAGAAAGGCACGCATACACCGATCGACATTCGCGACTGATCCGTAAAATACCTTAGACAGCTCTTGATAACTCTGCAATGACGCTGAAATACGTGAATACATTCGGTAGAAGATATATTCCAGAAGACTAACTCAGACTCAGCGTATTACATATGTAAATTGCAGGGATAGAAATGTTTTGGAAATTTGCAACTTACCACGAAAAGAAAAAGACAGAGTCAATTAACAACAAAAGGTATGCGAACAGATAATAGATTTCTGTAACTACTAAGATTAAACGGTATGAATACAAGTACTAGTGCATTTTCTTAATTTACACTCGGACATGTTGAACATTTTTTTAACACATTTCAAATCTTACTTTTATCGTTTGTAATTTTGACGCGATGACCGAAAAGTGGAAAGTATCGAGAGATCCTTTTGAAAGTTACGTCATCGATATTTTAAAGTTAATGGCTGGCATCGCAGGTTGAACGATCAAAAGTCCTGTTATAACGTGCTACGTAATCAATGTCGATGGTTGGAAGATGCGATCTTCCTGGAGAGTTTACCTAAAAGTGTGAAATTTATAATGATTATATTCTTCGGAAGAGAGAAAGAAAGGCGTGTGAAATATTTCGTATCAGTGGTTGTTGGAATCTCCTTAACGGCTGTCACATGAACCTAATTGATCGCTAATCGAGTGGATAACGGGCAACTAGTTTTAACAGAAACGAGACTTACGAGCTGACAGCTATACATACCGTAATTCTTCGCGATAATGGTGAAAAGGAGGGGTTCCAGTAAACCTTAAAGGCAGTGACAGTGGCGCTAATTGACGGGTTGCCAGTTGCAGCCGGGAACGTGAAAGTCCCCGCCGGAACCGCTGTCGCCTTTGGACTTTCTGTCTTTCGCCTCGACACTATAATTAATCTGCTGCATGTTACGATAACCACAAGAATCATTGACTGCGGGTGATTAACGTTGAAGCGTAGTAATCGAATCGATGATTGCGAACCCTTAAAACTTATTACATTCACGTACTCGTAATTAAAAGGAAGGCATTTTAACGACCAAAAAGAAATCGATGACTAATAGGACCGATATGATATTAAAATATATATAATATACGAGTTTTTTAACCTCTCGATACCAAAACGTAAAAAATAATTGCAAGACAAAATACTAACAATAAACATTAACAGTTAACTTTATTATATCTTTACAATATAGGTATAGTCGGTGAAAGAGATACATATAGCGAAAAATTGTAAATTCGATCAACTGTCGAAGTTGCAAAAAATCTGTGAAGCTAAAGACTAAAAAATTTGATTAGAATCGCGTAATGTATACATCGTGTGTAAAGATGCATAATATTGTATGCGGCGATAAATGTCATTGTATCATATGTGAAGCTTTGATTTCAAACTTTCTTATATTTCTTTTCTCAAAGTAGTTTTCAGGGCAAACTCCGTATATGTACATTGACTTAGTGTTTTAGAATATAGATTAGTATTCGGACATCCTTTCGAACGGAATAATTTTTTTAAGATTGGACGAAACAACTTGTGTTTTCCTGGGAAGTTAGAAGAACTATTTTACTAGATGACGCGTAAAAAAATTTTGAAAATATAGCAATTGCAATTCAATGACCAAGCGCAACTTGCTACAACTTGTTTAACTGAACCTGCAATGAAAATTTAAAAAATACATTTTGCAGATTTATGTCAATTAGATATACATGCCGGAAATTTCATCGAAATCAGTTGATGCAGAAATAAGCGACAGATATGGAAAGATATTATAGCAGCTATAAGCCGCAAGATAATCTGCGATTTTTACCATTTTTAACAGTTTATAGCTCGTAAGAACGTACTGGCGAGGCTCATAATCAATTTCGATGAAATTTTCAGTATGTATATACAATAATTCTCATAAATCAACAGAACGTATCGTACAAATTCTCATCACAGGTTCAGATAAGAAATCGTAAAAATCTAGTCCACGAATCCCTCGAATTTGTCATAAAACGTAAAGTCCAA